GCTGGACCTCAACAATGAGGTCAACAGCCCCAGGCCTGCCGGAACAGCCAGTTTTTAACAGCTTTCCTGAAGACCACGAGAGTGAGTAGGGTCCGGATCTCTGGGGGTAGCTGATTCCAAAGGGTCGGAGCAGCCAGAGAGAAGGCTCTCCTCCGGGGAGCCGCCAGCCGGCGTTGTCTGGCTGACAGCATCTGAAGAAGGCCCACCTGTGGGATCTCACTGGCCGTTGGGAGGAATGTGGCAGTAGGCGGTCTCGCAGGTATGCTGGCCCTAAGCCATGTAGGGCTTTAAAGGTAATAACCAACATGATGACCTACCCTTGCTTTATATAATTTATTAAAACTGGAAGTAACTGTTACCATAGCGGCTAGGAGAGATACACATTAATCTAAGCAGATATAAATTCAAATATTGATTGTATTTTAGATCAGCGGCCCCCAACCTGTTGGGCACCAGGGACCAATTCCATGGAGAAAGGTTTTTCTGTGGATCAGAGGGGCATGGTTTCACAAGCTGCTTGCATCCAGCGGATGGTTTCACTTCTTTGCATGACCCAGTTGCTGGCATGCCAAGGCCCAGTCCATGGCCCAGGGTTTTGAGACCCCTGTTTTAGATGATAAGTTAATTTTGAATCCATTTTTAACATTTTAATTTTATTTTCTCAGCTATTATTTTAATGTATTGTTAGAGTCAATCTTTCCTTCAGGATATTCAGGTGACATTTGTTACCTCCTCCTCCTCCTATCTTTGCACAACAATAACCCTATGAAAATGGTTGGGCTGAAGCAGAGTTTGGGCAATCAGTGAGGGTAGCAATATATGCATAATTCAATTCGCAATATTTAATCACCAGGATTACTATTTTAATTTTGGATTTTAGGCAATCCTATCAGGTAGTTGAGACAAGACACAGTCACTAATTTGTATAAGGGAAACTTAGAAGTCACACTGTCCTGATTTCTTAGTTGAATATCTTAATCATGGTTTGGTTTTAGCATCTATTCCACATGACATTTGTAGGATCTGTAGCTTCTGATTTGGTTGGGGACAAGTTGAATACAATGCAAAGGGAAAAGATGGTTTGCATGGCCTTCTTATCAGGACTTTTTGGTTTAAAGGAATTACACCAAGTTTTTTTCTTTATATATTTCCAGCTTAGCCTTCATGCCACAGAACCATAATTGCCTCATTTCATTAATGAAAACAATATATCCAGTATTTTCCAACTAACAGCTTCCTGTAAAGTGCCCCAGTCTCTTAACCAGGTTGTTCCCGACTGACCCAGAGGGACTACTAGAAAAAAAAGTTTCCTAAGTGTTGCTAAGCACACCAGTAAGGTTTAGTATATAACTTGCCCAAGAGATGAGCATGAATCCTTGTTTTTAACCTTGATTTTCTTGCCTCTCAAATTTCTAAGAGTCATCCAGACTTCAAGTCATGTCTTGTGTAATTTCAAAATAGATCATAACACAGCAAAAAGGAAGAACTGACCTTGGATGAAGATCAATAAACTAGTATTCAACCCAGCAATGGGAGGAGCAGTCTCCATGGAATGGGATAAAGGCATAAAGATTTAAATATCTTAAGGCAGGCATATCCAATTGGTCTCTGAATCACCCTGGACATCTACTGTTAGTAGTAATGCATTCACAGAAGATGTATGTTAAAGAAGAAAGTTTCTTATTTATTTTATACGTGGCCCAAGACAATTCCTCTTCACTCAACGCAGCCCAGGGAAGCCAAAAGGTTGGACACCCATAGCTTAGGGGAGAAATTCCTAAAGGAGTATCACTTTTAATATCTTTTTGTGATTGTTATGTCAACCCTATTCACCAGTTTCCTTCATGGTATAAAAGGGGAATCACCTGCTGTCCTAATTTCCATCCCTATTTTATTATTTTTAAAGAAATTTAAGGCTGGAATAACCAATGGGCATTCCCTTTGGGATTATCCATGCTAATAATTATCCACAGAAGTGTTTCCAGTAGTGCTGGAAAGCACTGTCTGGTTCTGTGTTGTGTTTTTTTAATGTACATGTGTGAATTGTTGATATTAAGTCCCATTCCCCTTTTGCTACTAGTCTGTTGTCTATGTCTCTTTGTTACTTGATTGAAGTGACTGGCATGGGTCATACTCTAATCTCAATGCAGGAAATGATTGCGGGTATGCTGAGTATGCAAACTAGAAGCTGGGTCCTATTGTTACAAAATTAGACAATACCTGCACTATTTTTCCAGCAATGATTTGGGATCTTCCAATGAGGGCCACTGAGTTATATAAATGCCAGATTTCCAAATCTTTAACAGGACTTTGTTAATACTACACACTTTCTCTTTTGTCTGCTAGAGTTGGATTGTGATTTCCAAATTCAGCAATTAACACTGACATTTGGAAGACTAACCAACATCCACATTCCTCATCTAGTCTAAATAAATGTACATGAAATTTTGTAATTCTTAAATTCATCCTATTTTTTCTTTCCTACTCGTCTCTTTCCCTTTTATCACCCTTTACACCTCTCAACACCATCTCCATGATTAAAATACATATTATAGGGTATTTTGAAAAGCTTAGTGTCTTATACATGTTTCTCTTTAACATATTTATTGCATAGTTTGCAAAACTAATGATCAGATTAAAAACATAGCAGGAGAGTGTTAGGTCAATAGATTACATTCATAATAGATTCCAAGATATAGTCTTATCAGTGTCCTTTGAACCAACACTGTGTTTTTTGACAAACTGATCAAAGGTTTATTTTTTGCATGTTTCAGTACAAAGAAAATATATAAAACAGAATGTCACCAAAGCAAATTTGTTGCTGGTTATTGATTTGTAATTAGCAATGAAAATTGCGAATTTAAAAATTCACTGTCCTAACTTTTAGCAAACCCCATCTATTCACTCTGCAACACTAAAATTGAGTTGTTCTGGCAAGATCTCATTAGCAAATTATTCATGTTTGGGTTTTCTTAAACATAATGGCCATTTGGTTTTTGGCTGAAAGTGTCCAAAGCAAGCTGAACACAAGCTAAAACAAAGTCAAAACAGTGAAATGATTTAAATCTATAAGGTGAAAGTGATCTGATTAAAATTGATTGAGAGCACAAGTTAGAATTCCCAAAGTCTTGAGTTCTGCCATACAGCCTTCTAAAAGACTTCTAAAGTAACAGATTTAGGAATTAAGAAGGTTCTAAAAGTGCAAACTATGTAATAAAGTTCCCAAGACACTGGCTGAAAAAAATAGACCATTTATTTGAACAGAAGATGAACAGCAGCAAGGTGGATAGACTCAGCCATAGTGGTGATGAGTACATTGTAGGAAGAGAAGAAGAACTAGATGAGGAACAGATTGTTGTTGAGTCAGCCTATTCACTAAGTATCGGCAACAACTCGATGGCATATAATCCATTTCCTGCTGTACAGAACTATGCAATGATCACATTGATAAGATGTTTATTTTTCTAATAGATTACCCAGGAAAGTGTTCTAAGCTAATAATAATTATTATTATTATTATTAATTATAATTAGAACTTTTCACTTGAAAACGTTTCAGTGGTTCCTTGAGCATCTTTTTAAATTCCATCTTAGAATATATTATGAACTTCCTCTACTATCATACTTAAGAAGCAGTCTTGATCTTCTACAGAAAAGCTAATTGGCTTCATTTTATATGGTTTAAAGTTGTATCTTATATATCAACCAGTAGGGGGTCATCTTCACAGCTAATTCTAAGAAGTCATTCTATACAGGGATAAGGAAAGATAGCATGATTGTAAAGTAAATCTTAGTATTTCTATCCTTAGCCTTATTATTCAAAAAGAAAAATAATGCTGATACAAATAAACATTGGAAATATAAAATATGATTAGAAAGAGAACAGAAAAAGGGGGGAAACCCCCAACCACTGTAAGCAATCAAAGAAAGCCAATTTAGAGTAGTGGTTAAGGCATCAGAACAGAAACCAGGAGTTAGCTGGGTGATCTTGGACTAATTAATCACTTTCTCTCAGCACTAGGAAGCAAGCAATAACAAACCACTTCTGAAATCTTGCCAAGAAAATTTCAGGAACTTGTCCAGGCAGTTGCCAAGGAGTTAATACTGACTCAAACGAACAAGAACAAAACCAATAAAATAAAAGGAGATGACTAACAAGTCTCTAATAACCAGCAGATCTAAAGTATCAAGTGGCTAATATATATATTAGAGATTTTTACAACCCCTGGTAAGCCCCAATTATGGGAGGAAGCTAACTGCTTCCATCATCTGTCAATCGGCTCGTCACAAGAGTCCATCACGACAGAAACCCAATATTTTTACTGTTGCCTTTGTTATATTTTGTGTTATATTTTGTGACTTAGTGGTTAACACATCTGCCTATTTAGCTCTCATCAGCTAAATCGAATCCCAGTAAGGGTATGGCTAGCTGATGAGAGCTAAATAGTTTGAAATAGATCTATACTAGTCTCCCTTTATTTATTTATCAGCACAAATAAAACACACACACACACACACACACACACACACACACACATATATATATATATATATATAGCAACAACTTAGTGTACTATAAGATGTTTTATATCCAATTTCTATCACATATTAATTAAACTATAAAATTGATAATAGGAAAAAGTAAAAGCTATACATGGAAAAATCCTATGAATAATGTGTATGATTATTGTATACATTCTAGAATGGAAACTTGGAATTAGAGAATTAGTCCTTGATTAGTAACACATTCAGTGACAACTTGAAATTACAAAGATGCTGAGTGAGACTTCTGTCCAGTTCTTGAAATTCCAGCCATTGCAGCAGCCCCAGGGTCACGTGATTGTGATTTGGGAACTTGATGTATTTAAAAATGGTCACAGGGTCCCTTGGTCATGTAACTGCCATTTGCAATTCACTGCCAGCATCTGACGAGGAAAAGAAGTCACATGTCAGTCAGGTAAAGTTGCACTTAAAATCACAGTTCTAGTAGATCCTATTGTGGGTAATAATTTCATATCTTACCAAATAAGAAGCAATGTGCCCATAGTTGGTTTGCTGTTGGTACTTAGGTTCTATTTCAATTATTTCAGTGTACTTCAAGAAATACCAGATTATATTTGGAAGAAGAACACAAATTGTAAATGCAGGGATTGAGTTGTAAATTCACAATAGTTTATGAAATATGAGGACATTTTATAGGTTATCTCACATGGAGGTTCAATGTTAACTTCCCAATTCTCTGGATTTTTGAAGTACAAGTGAAAATTGCAATGTGCTTTCACCTCAACCCATTTTTAACAATAATTAAATGCCTCCAAATTGACTACCTGGTTCACATAATACAAAGCTAAATTTATAGGGTTAAAAATCATTCACTGAAAAATAGAAGCAGAGAGGTTTGGGTGTTTTTTTTTTTAAAGAAAAAGGAGCTTCATGTTTTCAGAGCCTTAAAACAAACTTTTTCAAATGGATGGTTATGACATATGATTATTCCTTTCACTTTTGACATTATATACTTTTCAAGAGAGCTAGTTAATAAATAATTATATTTAGACTAAATAACAATGGTTCGTGCTTACCCTAATTTCGACTTCCATCATTATTCTATTATATATTATCTATCCACCCACTATTATTGTCTGTATTTGCAAAAAAGACTGTGGCTAATGTTCTTTGGATATGCAAATCACAATATATAATCTGTCCCTGTGGTTATAAACTTGTTTAACTGCACAAGCACACACTCACTGTCCTAGAGAAAAGCTTCACCCAACAGTTCAAGGATTGCTTATTCTCCTCTAATAATCACTAATAATTCCAGAAAATGGATAGTATAAAGGTAAGCACAGCAAGTCCCCATCATTTCCTTAGTTGCATCGCCTGAAATTAAGGCACTATTTATTTCTCCTTTCTCATAAGGTTTGCAATTAGAACCACCGTCTTTTGCAGAAAATGTCCTTTCCCTGCTCAGCTTGAGCTCTCTAGCAAGTCTAAATAAACCATGATAGATCACAGATTGCCTTCTGCATATATATTTGTTTGTTCACTCCGGTCAAATGTTTTTCTGATTGCCTCAATTTTCAGAGGTTGGGATAGAATTGGTTCTCGGGCCAGTTGCCAAGCACCCCACAAACAAGAGATCACCATTTGCAATCTTCTCTACTGGCATTTTAAAATCCCTTAATTATTTTAAAAGAACCTCAAGGCAGTGAACATACCTACTACTCCTTCCTTCTCCTATTTTCCCCACAACAACAACCCTGTGAGGTAAGTTGGGCTGAGAAAATGACTGGCCCCAAGTCACTCAGCTGGGTTTCATGCGTAAGGCAGGACTAGAACTCACACAGTCCTGGTTTCTAGGCCAGTGCCACATCAAACTGGCTCTGTAAAACTGTAAAAATATTTTAAACATAAATACTTCAAATGCAAATCTATATTTATATTCCTTTTAGAATTTTGGCCTGCCACACTTTCTCTTATTTCATTATGCTGTTTCTTTAGTATAGTCGATGGGAG